GAGCACTAGCTAAGGTTGGATATGTGACAAATGTGAACAAAAATAAACCAGCTCTATCCGAGAAGAATGTCAAGGGTCGATTGAAATTCGCCCGGGAACACAAGAACTGGACTGTAGATGATTGGAAACGTTTTATCTGGTCGGATGAATCCAAGTTCAACCGTTTTCAATCAAATGGCACGCAATACTATTGGCACAGGTCCGGGGAAAAGCTTCAAAAACACCATGTGAAGTAAACCGTTTAGCATGGAGGAGGCAATGTCAAAGTTTGGGGATGCTTTACTTGGTGGCACATTGGACCATTGCATAAAATTGATGGTATAATGTTAAAAGAAGACCATCTCAATATTTTGAAAACCTGTCTACCCAATTTTCTGGACAAGTGTGCATACCCCGTAAAGGAAATCATTTTTCATCAAGATGGGGATCCGACGCACACTGCCAAAACTGTCCGCGAATGGTTACAAAACCAAGATTTTATGCTGATGGAGTGGCCAGCTAAAAGTCCCGAACTCAATCCGATTGAGAACCTGTGGTCAATCGTGAAGCGACGGCTCGGGCAATATCAATCAATGCCATCCAACCTAGACGATCTTTGGAAGCGTGTAGAACTGAAGTGGAACCGAGTTCCAAAGGAAACCATAGAAAAGTTGGTCGAGAGTATGCCAAACTGAATAAAAAATGTAATAGCTAATAAGGGCCTGTGGACAAAATATTGATTTAGAATCATATTTAATTTTTTTCACTGAAGGTGCAAAATTGTACACATGCGTTTTGTTTCAGTTTTCTTCGTTTGAATATTTTACTGATTAACTTCTGTTTTTGTTATATACGGCAATTTGTTAAGAATTAAATACATATTATTGGAAAAAAAAGTTTTTTTGATTTGCTTCATTCGTTTAGAAATTATCGACTCACAAAGTTGAAAGTGTCAACTATGGAAACACTTTTGCTCCCTACTGTATATGAAGTCTCTATTCTGTCAAGTCCACTTTTGCTGTGGCCCTGCCTCTCTCTGCCGTCACTATTTCTATGTAAATTTTGAGAAATGCTTTCAGCCTGATGTGTCACTGTCATTGACCCTGCTCAGCAGTTGAGGTTTGAGGTTTGAGGCTTGTAAAGTGCATTTCTTGATCCACCCCTGTCTGAATGTCCAAATACAATGGGCTGCTTACCTGGCGCGCATTTCGTTCTGTTTTGTACGCTCGACTCAACTGCGTCTTGGCTGAGCGTGAGTCATGCTCTTGGCTTGTGCGATTCACCATGCTCAATCTGCAGATCAGAGACATGAGTGCTTTTATATAGGGTATGAAGTGGGCATTTCAGTTGTCTGATGGCCTCTGATACCAGATATATCTATATAAATGTTAACTATTGAAATTGATATGATAAATTATGAAAAGATTGGACTTTTGAGACAGGAACTAGAAGTAGATTTAGTATAGAAAACTTTTAGTTAAACTAAGCGCTGCTAGACACTGTCTCCAGCAGGAGTTGTTCACTCTAGAAAGCCGACATTGCTCCAACACTAACATCTTCGTGTTTAGCATTGCTTGTCAAAAGTAAGGGTATTCCCATTGCCACTTGCTTCTACCAACAGTAGTTTCCTTTGTTTGCGATAATCAAACAATATCCATTACTCATAATAAGAGGTTTCGTCTGAATTTTCCTCTGTATCGTCCATGATTGACAACGATAATCACGCAAAAAATTGTGGCTAATTGCAAAAAAATGTGAAAAGAAAAGAAAAGAAATGAAAGAGTTTGACGGGGCAAAAAGAGATGCGAGTGGAGCGGAGCAGCGATAGGAGCAGTTCCCAACATGCTCGCATTGTTAGATTAACAATGCATTCTCAAGCTCTAAAAGTCTGCAAAGGCCAGAACTAAATATAAACATCTTGGCGATCCTCTACGTAGCATGTGTCCGCCCAATCCGAAGATGGGGCGTGCTCCATTTAAGGGCAACAATTTCACTAAGGCAAAAGGTAGAGTTCGTTGACTCTCGAATGAAAAGAAAAGTTGAACTCTTTATGTTAGCTGGGAGTGTGGAAAATCTGGGGGAATTATATATGGAAAATATGAGTATATAAAGAAATATTTGTAAGGCTTATATAAGTTATAGCCTAAATTAGCACCGAGAAAATGTAGCTTCAATACTATAGAATGCTCAGCTATGTTTCAGTTCACAGTCAAATATAGTTAGATAATATAGCTTGACTAGGAGTCAAATGAAGGGTGTTTAATAGAAATTAAAAAAAAAATTTAATAATTTTAAATGTAATTTTAAATAACAATAAAATAATATAAATAAAAATAGAAAAGTGTAGTAGAATAAATGAAAGCAAAAATGAGAAAAAGTAAATTAGAGAAGATTGGAAAATCACATAATTTGCAGTAAATAATAAATGTATTATATATTGTTTAACATTAATAAGTTTTGCCTAAACTAAGTTCAGACTTACATTTAAAATTCTACTCCTAATCTGCTTCCAACTGAGCATTTGAGACATAATCAAAAGGAGCCTCAACAACATGTCTAAAACTTTGGTCAAGTATAAGAAAAAGACTTGGAAAATCTTCGTCAAGTTCTCATCTATTGCCTGGCAAATCATTTGAAAAATCTTCGTCAAGTTATCATCTATTGCCTAGCAAATCAGTAGAAAAATCTTCGTCAAGTTATTGCCTGGCAAATCAGTTAAGAAATCTTCGTCAAGTTATCATCTATTGCCTAGCAAATCAGTTGAAAAATATTCGTCAAGTTCTCTTGCATGACCAGGCAAACAAATCACAGAAACTTTACTGTTTCATGAAACATAATAAATTGGATTTCCTTAGATATATATATTCTTGTCTTTCTACAATTAAATTTTTTAAAGCTTTGCCTTAGTTTCTCAATCTAAACCTATAAGAAAATTACAATCAATAAAATAACATTTTAATTCTACACTTTTTTATCTACAATCTAAGCACAAATCATTCAATATATTATATATATGCATACATTTATATATAACTTTTCCTATATATTTCCCAAAACTTGGAAGTCTTCCAATTACTGTTCGCTTATCTGAAGCAAATAGTGATAAGAGACATTTTGCATAGATAAGGTAACATTATATGCATAACTACTATATGTAGCATATATGTGGACACACATATGTACACTGAGCGAATTGCAGTATATAGAACTGTAACGAACTCAGGCGTCGCCTCACCTATAGAACACCGCGCTGTGTACTCAAAAGAACTGTATTTTGCTGTGCCACATCTGGTGATCAAATGGCTTCAGCTCGCTCTACAAATATTTACACAAGCAGTCGACACAGACAAGTGAAGTTGCTCGAGCAGTAGGCGGAGAAGGGGTAGCAAAGGGGAATTTGGTACGGGGCGGAGTAGCGACTGTTAAAGCAAACTGTGCCACACCGATGCATGGCAAAAAAACAAAATGAAAGAAGAAAAAAAAACCCAGCGCCAACAACTTCCGTAGTTTGGGCTCGTTCGTTCACACTTTCTGGATTATGCAGCATCCACAACACACATACACTATGCTACATGGCACAACTTCTATTTGCGTTAGTCAATAAAAGCGGCCATTGATGGGCGCTGGCTGGAGTCCAACTCAATCGAACATGAGACCATCTGCCTGCTCTCTCTCTAATTGATAAGAACTCCACACAGAACATACATATGCATAAACACACACACATACACACGCACACCCATACAGATGTAAATATTTATATTTCTCTATGCAAATGATTCATTTCTGATATTTGAGTTTTTGCTCTGTGTGGGCCGCTCTGCGACTGCAATTCGTTTAGAAGAGTGCGCTATATATGAAGATGTCTGAGAATTATGCCTATAGATACATATATGTATACTTATATATATACATATATACATATATGGGTCTTCTTTATATGGGCTAACGATGAGCGGTTCGAGCCGCTGCCAGCTTGGCTCGAGCACAGTTAGCTGTTTTTAATGGGCATCGATGTAAATTTTTAGCATCAGATTGAGCTGAATGAAGACATCATAATGAGCTGTATAAATAAATATATGTTAAGCTTAGAATTTGAATACTCTGCATAAGTTTATAACGTCGTGGACTCTAAACAAAAGACTTTTAGCTTTCAGCTGCGCGCAAAAACATGCTCAAATTAATTGATTGAATGATTGATTGACTGATTAGTGCACAGTTTAAGCAATTAGAGAGCTAGAAATCTTCCATCTTTATTATAATTTATTTTGAGATGTCTTTCACACTTTTCGAAAAATCTTCAACTGCTGCATGGAAATATTTGCTGAAACATTTCCTGGAAAGGTCTATCCAAGTGCATATATTAGGCACTTTTCCAAGAAGCATATCATTTAAAGGTCTTCAAACTCATTATGAATATCTTCATTACAATAGACGCCAAGCTAATGTAATTCTTTATAGACATCTACCTGTAATATTAGATGAACTGTAAATAAATATAATTTTAGCACAGCCTTCAAATGAGCTCAAATATAAAGTTTACCTGATAGCAAGTACCAGGTAATGCCCCTCATTAGTACGTGTAATTGCATCCTTTGTTTCTCACATGTAACCAAGAGGGTTCAGAACTGGGTCAGGCGTTCAAGTTGGCCTTCTGGAGACCACTCTGTCGACCACTCTGTCGACTTGTTTTGTGGTTAATAATAAATGCACTTGTTTGCTGTTGGTTAGCATGGAACGTGTTACGGTTCATTCAACAGCGGCAACAAAAAGCGCTGCATTAGGAATGGCCCATGCAGGGGCCTGGCCAAACTATTCTCGGCTGGGTGCACACCTGTTGTTTACCTGTGGGGATGCCCGAACCGATAGACTAGGGTGACAAATCAGTCAAGCAAAAGCTAATTGCACATATCCGGTTTGAGGTCAGTCGATGTAATGCTTAGGTCCATTGATTGAGCTTGTGAAAACAAGGATGCCTCAAAGACTTCTATAATTGATTATAAATATTCCTTTCCTTGCAGAAAACCTTTTGCAAAGTCCGTACTACAATGGCGAAGGCCGGGAGAGCAGCATGGGCAGTGAATGTGGCGCTGCAGACATCAATCAGGCGAGTCATGAGGATCCCGGCGATGGCCTAGGACCCCTGCCGCCCAAGTGGGAGACTGCCTACACGGAACGCGGCGAACTGTACTTCATAGAGTAAGTAACTATGAAAGCAGCTTTTAGTGTGTGTAAATTAAGCAATTTCCTTTTATGTATAGCCACAATACGGGCACCTCGCACTGGCTGGATCCGCGTTTGTCCAAGTATCAGAAAAAATCGCTAGAAGATTGCTGCGAGGATGAGCTGCCTTATGGCTGGGAGAAGATTGAAGACTCCATGTACGGCATGTACTTTATTGATCATGTCAATCGACGCACTCAGTATGAGAATCCGGTGCTCGAGGCGAAGCGGCGTGCGGCTGAACAGCGTCAGCAGCAGCAGGAGCAACTGCAGCTACAACAGCAGCAGAAGCAGGAGCAGCAACAGCAGCAGCAGCAGCAGCAGCAACAACAGCCACCGCCGCCGCCGCAACAACGCTCAAAGACGCCAACGGCCGCGCAGGAGGCAGCAGCTGCCAGACAAACGCCGTTGCCCACGGTTCCAATGCCAATGGCAGCCAAACTGCCATACAAGTTCACACGCAATCCGGCCGAGCTGCAGGGCCAGCGCATAAACACAACGCTGCTAAAGTCGACGCGCGGATTGGGCTTTACGATCGTTGGCAGCGACGGCAGCAATGGCAGCGATGTGGAGGAGTTTCTGCAGATCAAGACCGTGGTGCCCAATGGTCCGGCCTGGCTGGACGGGCAGCTGCAGACGGGCGATGTGCTGGTCTATGTGAACGATACTTGTGTGCTGGGCTACACGCACCACGACATGGTCAACATCTTTCAGTCCATACTGCCCGGCGAGACGGCAGCGCTGGAGGTGTGCCGGGGGTATCCGCTGCCTTTCGATCCCAATGATCCCAACACAGAGGTGGTGACCACCATGGCCGTGGATGTTATGCCCTGCGAGGCAGAGAAGCAGCGTCGCTTAAACGTGGACCTCAACATGGATGGGAATTACAATTTTCTGGATTTGTCTGGCGAAGGCGTTAGCAAAGCGGCTGGCAGTGGCTTCATCTTAATGAAAAAGCCGGAGCTTTACACATTTTCCATTATGAAAGGCGCCTTAGGCTTTGGCTTTACCATCGCCGATTCGGCGTGCGGTCAAATAGTGAAGAAGATCCTCGACCGCAACTGCTGCACTCAGCTGCTCGAAGGCGATGTGCTGCTCGAGATAAACGGCATCAATGTGCGCAACAAGCCCCACTTCTATGTGGTGGAGCTGCTCAAGGAGTGCAGTCAAACCACGCCCACCGCTCTCAAGATACAGCGCACGCCGCCCGAACAATCAGCCGCTAGCCAAGGCGTTGGTAGCGTGACCAATCTGCGCAAGAACTTCGTCGGCGGCACAGGTGCCGGACTGTTTCGCAGTAAAACGCCCACTGCCGATCTGTACAGCACTCAGCCCAAAGAGGTGCTGCCCATGCGGCCGAAGACACCGTTGGTGGATACGCGACGTGCTCGCGTCTTGACGCCAAATAACGAATTGCAGCAGGCGGATGCGGGGTCGTCAGTTGAGAACAAGTCACTGCACTTGCAGGTGTCGGGCAAGTCGAATAATAGTCTGCAGGAGCTGGATGATATACCCTTCATGGATCCCTATCCCAAGATGGTCAGTCGACTGAGCGAGCGCCTGGCCGAAGCCACCTTGCAAAGCGGCGTCGATGTTGATGTCGGCGATGGCGGCAATTACAATCCCATTTACGGCTTACCTCCCAGCATGCAGCCGCTGCCACTGCCTCTGGGTCATCACGAATCCTGCTACTGCTACGATTGCCAGGCGCAGCGCTACCAACGACCGCAGCAGCCATCGCAGCTGGGCTACTACGTTCAGCAGCCGCCAGTTTCAACTGCCACCGGGCAGTATTCGCCGTTGCAAGCGGCGCATATACAGAATGAGCGCATGCAGCGTCGCGTCAATGAGTTGCTGAGCGACCGTCGGCGTGTTGGATTTGCCAATTTGGATCCGCCACAACAGCAGTTGCAGCTGCAGCACTCGCCCAGCTGGCGCAATGGTGCTTTGCTGGATGCCTCGGAGGATGCCGAGCAGTGTGAGCTCACCGAGGTAACGTTGGAACGTCAGGCGATGGGCTTCGGCTTTCGCATCGTCGGCGGCACAGAGGAGGGCTCACAGGTGACTGTTGGCCACATAGTGCCTGGCGGGGCAGCGGATAATGACCACCGTATCGCCACCGGCGATGAGATCCTCAGCATCGATGGCATCAATGTGGTAACTTGAATTGATCACCCATAACTTGGCTCGCTTATAAAATACATATCTTTATTGACATAGCTAAACTCTTCGCACCACAAAGTCGTTTCGCTGGTGGGCGAATCTGCCGTGCGTGGTCAGGTGACAATGATACTGCGTAGGCGACGAGCCGCGCTGCTGCAACAAGCACCGCTACAGCAGCTGCGACGCTATCCATACGATGTGATCGTCAGTCGTCATGAGAACGAAGGCTTTGGCTTTGTCATAATCTCCTCATCTAATCATTACTACGGCTCCACAATTGGTAAGTTGAGTTCGTTTTTTATCTGGCATTCGCTTGATTTCAAATATATTTTGCTTCTTCTCAGGCAAACTAATACCTGGAAGTCCGGCTGATCGGTGCGGCGAGCTGAAAGTGGGCGACCGAATTATTGCTGTTAACCGCATCGACATTGCGGGCATGTCGCATGGCGATGTCGTTAATCTTATAAAGGAATCAGGATTGCATGTACGCCTTACCATCGGCTGTCCGCTCAAAGAGGGCGGGCCCAGTCCAGGCGGTAGTAGCGCTGGAATGGGCTCTAATACCCCACTGCAGGCATCACCCAGCTTACTTAAAGCTCCACAGCAACAACAGCAGCAACAACAACACCAACAACAGCAGCAGCAACAGCATCAACAATTGGAAATGCCAGGACTAGGCCCCATGCCTGGTAGCTATCTAGAGCGTGCCAGCACAAACATCGCAGCCACACTTGCCCTACATCAGCAGCCACAGTTATGACTCTGAGATCTACGGATTCGGCTCTACAAGAGCTTTCTTTAGCTAGTTTAAATGTGCATTTTACAAGTGCAGTGCCGTAGTTTTACTTATAACTGCTAAGTAACCCCAAAGACTGAATTTAGTAAGCATATGAAACATTTCAAATTTGCGAATCTTCACGCGTTTCGCGAAGCTACATAAAATTGTCCTGAAAATCGGTTTTCTTTTGTCTATCCCTCTTAGTGACTTGCCTTATAGCCTAGTTAGATATATAAGTTATTAATGAAATCATGAGCTTTTCTTCTATGTATAAATCAATTGTATCTAATGTCATATTAAATGACATCATTTTAACAGTTTAGCATAGCTCTATCTATATACACATATATGCTTTAGAATAAGCTTTTCTATAAATACCAATTATTAAGTATGGAAATATTTGTACAAATGTAAAGCAACTAAATATTTTTTATTTATATATTAATATGTTGTTTAATAAAAGATATTACAACTAGTTCCACGGACTTGTTTTTTTCGACGGAATTAAAGAATCAACTGGTTCCAATTATAAAATTCATTGAGAAAATATTTTGCAATTGGGATAGAGACATGGAATGCTACCAATGCTATGCAATGCCATGGAATGCTAGCCAACTATTTGCCCCTTACACACATCTAGAAACCTTAGTCTTAAGGCTCCAATCTTTTGTATTTGAAAATGATCGGGTAATTCGCTTACAGCTCTACAATTTCATTTTTATTACCATACATATATAGATACAAAATAATACATATGCAGCAATTCATATGTAGTAAATTATTACAAAATTGAATGAGACTGCTAATTAAGCTTATGTATAGAATATATAAATGAGTTTGAATGCGGTTTCGGCAACAGTTTTATATGGGCTTAATTTTAAAATGCAGACCAATGAGCGAGAAGACCAAACATTTTAGATCCTGTACCAAATAATAGAAACAGCGTAAGCCTTCTGGATCCTTGGACCGATTGACGTCCACCAATGAGCCTGTTTTTGAGGTGGTGAAGGATATGTGCTCATCGCCGATCACAATTTCCAGTTCCTTTGAGAAACATAAAGCATGATTAATATATGTATGTATGTATGTATGTATGTATGTATGTATGTGTATATGCGTGCATGTAAACGCATATTGGCGGCATGTGCAAGTAGTAAAGCCTTTCACTTACCTGTCGGCCAACTCGATCCGGTGGGGGCCAAGGCAGATCATCTTCCTGCATGATCTCCGAGTCAATAATGATGCGCTTTAATTCTTCCATGACAGATTGATGGACAAATGCTTCTTTGCGGATCATGGTGTCATTTTTATAGTTGGAATTGTTGGCATAGCGCAGTTTTCCATCCGGCCGGAACTCAAACTCGAGGAACTCATGTCCGAACTTTCCTTTGTGACCAACATAGTAGCGTAAGTAGAAGTCTTCCGTAGACATTATTTTCACTAGGTTTTAACGCTTTTTATCTTATGAAAAATTGTTTTTCTTTCTGCATCTACTTTTACCCACAACGTTGCGGCTATTTTCAGGGTTGTTGTATTGCGGTTGGTTTCGATAATTGAATACGCCTTGTCGATAATTTCAATGTATATCGATTGGTGTCGATATGCATGCGTGGCAACGTGAATGGCATATTGCGAGTAAGCTGGCTAAAAGCTGTGTTGAGTTTTGTGTTAAAATGTAACTATTTTATTTATATGCAACTACCTCCATAAATCATTCAATAAATGCGGTACGTAAACACAAGAGTAAACAATACAAAATGTACCGGCAATTATTTTACAATTACTGACAACATTGTAATAATTGAAATTTGCAACAAAGTTGGTCAATTGATGGATATACATATGTGTGTACATATGGTGTTTTGTTGTTGTGTGCACAGCGCTCGGACGCCAATGTAATGGCGTCGAATTATTTGCAATGAGTGAGAGGACGTGCGTACACCGAGGTGGTTGATAGCTGCGCCGCCTTGTCGACGCTGCTACAACAGCAGTGCAAAGATCTCGGTCAAAGTAATTTTACAAAAACACAACACTAAAATTGCTGAGAGCGCCGCTGAGAGTGTGACGTTTGTCTGTTGTTGTTGTATGCCACAAAACGAAAGTGCAAGGATTTCGAGTACGCCTGCGCATCCAATGGCGGGAAATCAACAAGCACTGGCCTGCACGTGCGTCCTTCGGGCCTGCTGTAAAATGTCGGTCGTGCAACAAAGTTGCTCTCGCTACATCGCACTCTCTCTCTCGCTCGCTCGCCGCTCTCTCTTTCTATCAGGCTCTCCAGGACGGTCGTAACGTTTACTTGGTGGTGGTTTGTTTTGACTGGCAGCACAAAATCGATGACATTGAGTGCAACTTTGTTGCTGTCTCTCGGTCAGCGCATGTGAAGCAATAATGTTGCATCCGCATGCCGATGTGCTGCTGCCTGTGCCTGTGCCTGTAGCTCTGCCTGGTCTCGGCCAGTAATGTCTTCTTTCACAATATTTACAAAACAAACAAAAACACACCCATTTCCTTTCGCATACTCCAGCTTCGACTCTGCTGACTGCAATATTCTCTTCGTGCAACTTTTGCCGGTTGCTGCCGCTGCTGCAGCTGCTGCTGCTGCTGCCGCTGCCGCTGCCGTTGATATTGTTGGGGCGCTTACAACTTTGTTAACTTCGGGACTTTGGTCTATGCAGTCGGTATTGAGGACAGTAACCGGGACGAATTTACTTTGTTGCGCATTAATTGATTTTTTCATAAACCAAGTTTTACCCAAAGCAAAAAAGATTAAAATCGTTAAAAACTATCAAAGATATTGAAGAATTGCAGGTAAAGGTACTAAAATGAATTGTTAAATATATTAGAGTTTCAGCTGCTTATCTAATTTAAGAAACATTTGTTAATTAAAATGTAAAGTAGTTTAATAACTTCCACTTTCTTTCCCTTGCAGGCAATGTAGAAGCTCTACATATTTTATAAGATATACTTATATATACATACATTCATAGACGTTAACTGTAAAGAGGAAAAACACATTGCATCTGGCTTAGCTGAAGTAATTATGGATACATGAACTAAAGTTCTGCACTGACTGGAAAGTAACGGGAACGGCGAGTGGGCAGGAACCGAAAGTCAAACATGTCAACGAACCCCAACCAACACCAACACCAACACCAACACCAACAGCACCAGCAACAGCAACAACATGCTGCTGCAGCAACAACCGCAGCCATATGCAATCGGGAGCGGGAGAGAGCGAGAGCTGGAAGCAGCTCGCAACGCAACTTACTCGAGTTTCTGTGCATTTGTGTGACCTGTGTGGTCTGCTATTACAATAGCACGCAGTGCGGTCTGGTGTTTGACGATATCAGCGCGATTAGGGACAACAAGGATTTGCGGCCTAGCACGCCGCTGCGTAATGTGTTCCTTAACGATTTCTGGGGCACGCCGATGCGCAAAGAGCAGTCGCACAAGTCATACAGGCCGCTAACCGTGCTGACGTTTCGCTTTAACTACTTGCTGCATGCATTGGAGCCATTCGGCTATCATCTCGTCAACCTGCTGCTGCACATTGCAGTCTGCCTGCTGTGGCGTCGTGTCTGCCGCCTCGTTCTGCGTCAGTGTGCAACTGGCAGTAATGAAGCGTCGTCCACCTCCCTGTCCGCGTCCCCACTGAACACATGCGCTTTTGTCGCCTCGCTCCTATTCGCAACGCACCCGGTGCACACCGAGGCCGTTACTGGCGTCGTAGGCCGCGCTGAATTGCTCTCTTCAATATGCTACCTGGGCGCGTTTCTCAGCTATGCGCACGCAACGAATGGCTCGCCGCGACGCACGAACTGGCCGGCGCTTTGCCTAGGCTTTGGCAGTTGTCTCCTGGCCTCCATGCTGTGCAAAGAGCAGGGCATCACCGTTGCTGGCATTTGTGCCGTTTACGAGCTGTTCGTGGTGCAGCAGCAAAGGCCACTGCATCTGTGGCATTTCGTGCTGCGTATCTTTGAGGAGCAACCGCCGGCCAAAACGGGACAAGCAAACGCCAGACGCTGGTCGTCGACATTGTGGAAGCGTTTAGCTTTTCTGGTCATTATCACTGTCGCTTTGCTGGTTGGACGTGTCTACGTGATGGGCTCTCAGTTGCCCATTTTCACTCGCTTCGATAATCCGGCTTCGGCAGCTGAGACGCCCGTGCGCCAACTGACCTATGGCTACCTCATCTACCTAAACTGTTGGCTGTTGCTGTGCCCATCACTACTCTGCTGCGACTGGACAATGGGTGAGAGTTCTACAAATTGAATTATTGAAATATTCTTAAACAATGTTGTCTTGCAGGTACCGTGCCCCTGCTGGATGGCTTCAATGATTCACGTAACTTGGCTACCTTGTGCACATTTGTTGGCTTGGGCGCTTTGGTGGCGAAAGCTTGCTTCTCACGCAATCTGTCGCAGTCACGTACGCTGCTCATGTGCCTAGGCTGGATGGTGCTGCCGTTTCTGCCCGCTTCGAATCTGTTCTTTCCGGTCGGCTTTGTGGTAGCCGAGCGTATTCTGTACATGCCATCAATGGGATACTGTCTACTTGTTGCTTATGGCTATCATCAATTCCAGCGACGTTGGCACGCCAATTGGGGTCGTCTGGCACAGACGGCGCTTGTTGCCTTGCTGCTGGCGCATGGATTGAAGACACAGCAACGCAACTGGGACTGGCGAACGGAGTACTCATTGTTTATGTCCGGGGTGCACGTGAATCAACGCAATGCCAAACTGTACAATAACGTGGGTCACGCGCTGGAGAACGAGGGTCGGTACGACGAGGCTTTGCTCTACTTTCAGCAAGCTGTGCAAATACAAGCAGATGACATTGGCGCCCACATCAACGTCGGCCGCACCTACAACAACCTGAAGCGCTATGCCGAGGCCGAGCAGGCGTATATGCGAGCCAAGGCGCTCTTTCCACAGGCTAAGGCTGGCATTAGCTATCATGCACGAATTGCGCCCAATCATCTAAATGTTTTCATCAATCTTGCCAATCTGATATCGAAAAATCAAACCAGACTGGAGGAGGCCGATCACCTTTACCGTCAGGCAATTAGCATGCGCAGTGATTACGTTCAGGTAAGGGTTTAGAAACATCGCGATTGTAGTTAAACTAAATTACTCTTCTTGTTGCAGGCCTATATAAATCGTGGCGACATACTCATGAAGCTCAATCGTACAGCTCAAGCGCAGGAGGTTTATGAACAGGCACTTCTTTATGACAGCGAAAATGCGGATATATATTACAATTTGGGCGTTGTCTTTCTGGAACAGGGCAAGAGTCAGCAGGCCCATGTATACTTCAATAAGGCCATCGAACTGTATCCGGAACACGAGCAAGCACTGCTAAATTCCGCTATTCTCCTGCAAGAACTGGGCGGCGAGGAGGCGCGTCAGTTGTCGCGCACCCGCCTCTACCAGGTGCTGGCTAGAGATGCGAACAATGAAAAGGTCTACTTCAATCTCGGCATGTTGGCCATGGATGAGTCCAGCTTTGACGAAGCCGAGCAATTCTTCAAGCGGGCCATACACCTAAAATCGGATTTTCGTAGCGCTCTTTTTAATCTCGCACTGCTGCTGGCGGACTCGAAGCGACCGCTAGACGCCGTACCATTCCTCAATCAATTGATACGCCATCATCCCACGCATGTGAAGGGTCTCATCTTGCTTGGCGATATCTACATCAATCACATGAAGGATCTGGATGCGGCAGAGAAGTGCTATCGCAGCATACTGCAGCACGATCCGCACAATACGCAGGGCCTGCACAATCTCTGTGTGGTTTTCGTGGAGCGCAAGTGGATGGCCAAGGCAGCCGCCTGCCTGCAGTACGCTCAGCGCCTGGCGCCCAGTGAGGATTACATTGGCCGTCATCTACAGATTGTAATCACACGTCTGCAAAAAATTAACAAGTTACCTGATACGTCGCCCGAGCGACAGCTAGCTTACAAGGCCTACGACCCAGACGAGTTCAAGGTGGCTGATGAGCGAGAGGTGCACAAAACTCGCACTCGCTCATAGCGCTTCTAGGTATCATACATTAGATCATTCCAGCATTTTGTTTAATTGATGTAAAACTGTACATTCCATAGGGAACCTATTTGAATCTCGTTTGAATGCTGATATAAACGTGAACAATTTTTTATAACCAAGTACGTAATCGAAACCTGATCTTGTTTTGTATATAGCACCAAATTGTTTCTAATCAAAAGACGTACTACCGAAATAATGCATTTATTATACACAAATGAAATTGTACTTAATGGACACTAAATAAAATTAACTATACTTGATTAAGCATTGCTTGAAAGTTTTTATATAAATTTTTTAGCCTAACAGAAAGACTCCAATCTAAAAATTTAAACTTATTTTGAGATATATATTTATTCTTGATATCTGTTATATTCTTCCGCTTCAACTAAGGCTTGTAGCTGCTGTTCGTGACTCAGCTAAAATTTATAAAAATATAAATTATTAGACAAATTTAAATCAAATTAAATTATTAAATAGGTTTTTTTAATTTTATGTTTTGCTTTTGATTTTATATATATATATATTTTTAATTTGATATACATAAATAGTTGTTTGAAAAATAATTGTTTATTAAATTAGATTGTTTCTTAACTACAATAAGAGCTCGGCACAAATAGTAATGCTCTCTTATGCACTAATAGTAATTTCTTTTGATCTAGATACATCAATATAAATAGTTTATATATATATTTTATATATATTCATTTCGAGCTGTATTCAAATTATAAAATCGATTTTAGTATTTTTGAAATTGTTTTTGATTTTTGTTCTTTTGATTTCTTTATGAATTATTCAATTTGAATGTGAATAATTAAAGATGAAGATAGACTTTGTATTATTTTGTTTTTGGGTCTGTTTACAAAATCGGTGAGTAGACATTTTATATATATATAGTAATTTACAATAAATATGTTTAGATATATGTCTATTTATATAGAAATATGTGATTTGTTGCCTACTGTGCCGCATTCATATAATAGACAAAGCCAACTGGACGCGCACTTCGACTGACTAGAATTATAGACTATATATGTTCAAATCATAAAATAATACTAAATTATACATATGAAGTGAATATTTGTACAGAAAATACTTAAATAAGTCTGGATCAAGCTAAAGTTTGAAGCATTTTGCGAAGGAAAAACTATTGAAAATGTAAGAAATTGTATTTTGTTGAGCTGTTGGTCTTTGTAGGGTATTTCGTGAAAAATAATGCTTGACTCTCTGCTGTATTAACACATCTGAATAACATATACATATATATATATATGTATAGCCGATGCCTGATAGGAGCCTTCTTCTCCCTTTCTCTTCTGATACTTCTTACATTCTAGACGACCGCATTTAACTTGAGTTAGGGTATGCATAGTCGAGCATAATAAGGCATGCGTAAACATTTCTATATCAATGCCAGGGCTCATCTTGATCTTGATTCACTCGCAGGCAATTTTACCATCAAAACTGCTCAGAGCTATGGCAAAGGCCTGCATGGCGCACAGCGGATAGCGATAGTCCATGGTGAATACGTCCTCGGACGTGCGTCCAAACTGCATGACTATATACTCCGGATCCGAGTCGTGCACCAACTGAAAGTTCTTGACCGAGGCCTGCGTGACGCGACCGTGAAAATTGAGCACATACGATTGGGTCTCATCGTTCCAGACGGGCGTCTTATTGTGCAGCTCCACGATGTTGTCCATGTTCTGGGGGAGAGATTGACACTGTGAACGAACTGCAAAGCTGCGGCAAATGTTATACGACTAACCTTCATCTTCCACAAGTCGAGTATGCCCTGCTGCTTGGGATCCGCTGAGCTGATCTTGACACGCTGATCGTCCTCAGTCATGCCCGGCAGTATCACAGTCATATTGCGCGGTCCCTTGAAGCCCAGAATGTTGGTGTCCTACGTAAATTGAAAGTGTGAATAGTGATTGCCATAGACTCGGGGTATCATTTGGGACCTACGTAGATAATAACTGCCAGATCGAGTCGTGGACTCTCGGTGCTCTCCTTGTTGCCATTGTCGAACACCGTGAAGGATGTGCCGAACACATTGGAGCGCAGCTTGCCGCAGAAGCCGTCTGCATTGCGCGACAGATCGGTGGGGTCGCAGCTAACAATGTAGTTGGATGTTTTGCTCTTCTTTCTCTTGCGGCCTTGGCAATAAGGTGGAATATTTAGTGTCCGCTCTGAGCCTCAACTCTACGAAGTACTTACCACCCAGCAGAAAGATTTTCTTGCCATAGTCTCGCTCCAGGTGCAGATAGTAAATGGGGAATAGGCCACGATCCATGCCCTTGCGATCGCGCGTGATGCGGCACTTGTAGAGCACACCCTGCGGCGCCGGCTGCATAACGAACTGATCAATGTTGCCGATGACATCGCCCTCGGACTCGCCGCTGCCGCCGATGCTGCCGCTGCCGTTGGCTGTGCCGTTGCTGCCCTCGATGGCGGCGCTGTCCTTATAGGGCGAGGCAATGGCGGCTGGACGCACTGCAGCCACGCCCGATATGTTGCGATTGGCATAGTCGTCCTCGTCCAGCGTCTCGTTGAACGGTGGCTGGCCGCTGCGAATGCGCTGCGATTGCAACGAATTGGCGCTTTGCGGCTGGATCGGTTGCTCGACCACCGTCACGGGACTGCTCTCCTCATCCTCCAGCTCGTGCGACGAGATCTCCTCGATTAAGTCTGCAATTTCATGGAGATATAGGTAAACTGTATAAACTCATTTCAATCAAGCTCTTTCGCTCACCTTCTTGATTGATGGTGCTAAGGCTGCGCAAGTTGTTCGAGTTGTTGCGGCTCGAGTTCAGGCTGCTGGTTAGATGAACACCTGGGCTGTTGTTGCTCAATATCTGATCGGGATTGTGTGGCGAGCCTATAAACTGCATTGGCCCATCGTAGGCATGCAGCTCGCGGCTGTTGCTACGCATGCCGGACATCGGACGGCTCATCTGCAGATCGCTGGCCTGCACCATGCCAGGCGATGCGCGCTTCTGACGAATGTAAGCGTCCATCAGCTGGCGCTGCAAAACATGTTTTTCATAATATTTATCAATCATTCAATATATGATATGTGATAACAAAAAAGTTATGCAAGACTTGACAGACCTGTGCCAGAAATCTTGACTTTACATTTTTTAGTCTTGCTTTTAGTTGAGCTGGAGTTTTGCATATATTTAAAGGATTTTTATTTATTTATTTACTTATTTAACTGCATGTTCATTTATATATATATATACATATGTGTATATATACAGCTAATTGGCAATCATGTTTCTATCATCAGCTCTCAGCTGCTAATCATATACAAAATATTTTTGGTTTCCTTTTGCTTCAGTTCAATTTTTTGCTTTGTTTTTCAATCAAAACTTTTTCTATATTTGATTGAAACATTGTTTATTTATTGAGCGTAGCTACACATATTTTGATGATGCTTGAAATTTGTAAAAATAACTCTCAAATAAATAAAAGAAACTCAGCAATTTGATTTCATTTTATTGAGTTCTCATGCATAGCCGAAGTCAAAGCTCGTTCACATTCCAAAAGCCAAAACAGTTCAACTTTTGCTATATTTCATGAATATTGCAATGTAACTCGAACAAAGTGCATCAATTTGTGCTGAGAGAGACACAGATATAGCAGGTGAGCCATTGTAACGCGGTGTATCGAGCTATAGAACAGGTCCTTAGTGTTTCCCTATGGCAAAGCTTTGACTTTTTAACCATTAAAACTGGAAAATCAGGGCATAGTAGCTTTGTGGCAATATTTGTAACAGGCACAGCGCGTAAAGTATCTCTAAGTAGGTTTTTTTCGCTTGATTTAGGCCTTGCATTGACTTTACTCAATTCAATAAAATTGATTCCTGTTTTGGCACAGCTGACAAAGTAATCAGTTCTGAGTCTGTTCTTTATCTACTTAACTTACTTAACTTAATCTTGACTGCCATCGAGATTAGCCATCAATTTGGATTACATTTGTCAGAAAATATTTCAATATCTTTATGGCCATGCGAATGCATATTTCTGATAAGTTTGTTTTTGTTTATAATAATTGTTCAGCTACTTTATTCAATTAACGCTTATCGCTTCCTTGCCTGGGTTTCATAAACAACTTTATTGCAGGGTATTAGCTGATTATGCATCTGTATTTTGTTTAATTGTGAGTTATAAATCTAGCTTCAAATTGTTTTTCTATCACACAGCATTTTCTTCGAGTGTAGCAAATATATGAGCAATAAATATTTATATAAAAAAGCAAGGCAAACAGCCAGTTGATTGCCCAATGTAATTATACTTAATATATTTCAAGATACAATTATATGTGCTCGTATCTAATTTTCTTATTTTTAGCTAGCAAATTAATTTGCATAAATAAGAAATCTAATTGGATTCCCAGTTGGATTCCAATTGCAAGTGAATTAGTATGGAAACACACATTATTTTGCACTGTGTGTGTGAGTGTGTGTGTGTGTGTGTGTGTGTGTGTGTGTGTGTGTGAGTGTGTGTGTGTGTGAGTGTGTGTGTGTGTGTGTGTGTGTGTGTTTGTGCGTGTGTGTGTGCCTGCCTGTGTTTCCCAAACGTGATCTGGTGTAATTTGAGCTGCAGCCCTTGGCATATTAAGCCAACTGCTCGACACTCACCTACATGGTTATGCAACTGCGGATGCTGCTGCAGCTTGATAGAGGCTTGCCTGAATACCTGTGTCGCTGTGGCAGTGCCAGTTGCATCACATCAAATCACAGCAGAGCTGCACCAGCTGCCTCGCCCTGCTCGCCCCTTGCGAGCGACACGATTTGACATGAGCTCTCCACTGGGGCGGCTGCTTCATGGCACTGATTTCATTAAGCATTTCAATTTCAAGTTCAGCTAAATAAATGGCGCTGTTTATATGATTGCATTTGCAAATATATTGTATATATATATTTCTATATATCATAGCAGAGCAAAGCTGTTACTCAAGAAGCATTTAATAGCATTTTGCCATTTTGGCATTTGTCACTTTATGAACTATTATTCCACTGCTGACAATGCCTTAGCAACTGCATCCTTTCGACTGCAAAATGTGAGCTACAAAAAGGATTTCTCTCTGGGCGCTCTTCAACGGCAAAGGCAATTGGCAGTGTAGAAATTTGAAATCCTTTTTTATGCTTATTCAAGTGAGGGGCATATTGGTTGGGGACTAGATTTACTTAGGGCCCTCTCAAAGAGTCATGCTCCCACGCCAAGAGCCCAGCTTGTGGAGCAATTGCAATAATTCTTGGACTTCTCAGGAATTTCAAGTTGAGCGCGCATCGCGCAGTCGCTGCGACTGCGTCTGCCCTGTTTTTAGCGACTTTTTTATTGAAGCGTGAATAGAATAGCGAACAGCTGCTCGCGGACACGTAGCGCAATCAGGAAGCTGTCGAGGAAATGAACACGTTTCACAGTAAAACAGAGCGAAAGGAGGTCATTTTTTTTTGTTGGTTTCTTCTTCTTTCTCGCTTTATTGCTTGGCATTAAAGTGCAAAGTACTTAAATGGAATCTATAGAACGTTTACATTGCTCAGAATACTCTCGATGGTGGCATTGGCGGCGCGTTGCTTTGTAGCGGGCGCACACTGTAATTGAAAGAAGCCGGGCAAATCCAGCTCGAGCTCGAAGGCGCTCGACTTGAGCGGCGGCAGCCAGAGGTCCATGCGATCGTAGATGACACCGGTGGGTCCCAGCTGCAGGAACCAATCGATCGAGTCGCGATCCTTTAGATCAGCGCCCCAGAGCAGCAGCAGCGGCAGCTGTGCCTTGGCCCGCTCCACCAGAGTGGGCTCAGCTTTGAAGAACACGGCATTGGGCACAATGCCAGCCAGGTCCATGGCCTGGGCAAAGTTGATGCTCTGCTCGACGTTGGCGGTGCGCGGATCGGCGAAGGCGTTCTCCTTGCTGCTGGTCAGGAACAGCACCGGATACATGTTCTGCTTGAAGCGCAGCATCGTGCACAGGTCCGCGTCGAAGCTCTTCAGGATGTTGAGGCGGCCGCAGCCATGTCGCTGCACCACCTCCAGTATGCGGTCCACGAACAAGTTCTTGTCAATCGTCTGCTCGCTCTCGTTGAGGCCGTTGGACTTCAGCTGTGGCCACTTGATTTCGATGTCCAAGCCAACGGTGTGGGGCACCCGCTCGAAGAGGTCCTGCAGCGTGGGGAACAGACGCTGCTCGACCTCCTCGACATTGCTGTGCGCCGGATACTCGATGATCTTGTTGTTCACGATCTGGTAGGTCTTGAGCTGCTTCAGCTGCTCGTAGGTGATGTCCTTGAGCAGCACCTCGGTCAGGTCGTTCTTGCTGGTCGGCGTCTTCGAGTCGATGCAGACGCGTATCGAGTAGTCGTGATGAATGATGGGCACCAGATCGCTGGTCAGCTGCACATCGAACTCGATAAGATCGGCGCCCAGCTCGCCGGCGCCCAGCAAGGAGGAGAGCGTGTTCTCGATGAGCGGCGCCGCCGTCGTCGAGGGCAGCGTCAGGCTCTTGCCCAGCCCGCGATGGCCGATCTCCAGCGCCGTCCAATTGCCACGCCAATAGTTGACGAAGCTGGTGCGAAAATCTGCGCTGCCATTGACCATGGGACGCACCAGCAGATACTGCAGCTGCAGCTCGCCAACGACGCGCTGCCACACGGGCGATAGCAGCTGCAGCGTCAGGTTGCCCTCGCTGCCAGTCAGCGCGCCGGGCTGCAGGTGCACGTAGCCCAGCAGGCGCACCAGGTCCTGCTGCTCGCCATAGACCTCCAGCTGGTAGGCCACCTGCTGTAGCTGGTCGAGCGTCACATGGAACATGAGCAGGTCGTTGCTGGCATCATAGGGCACGCCGTACTCCGGCTGGGCACGCAGCTGGCTCTCTGCGTAGACCATGCGCGCGTACTCCACGTTGGCTGAGGCGGAGCTGAGAATGGGCGACAGACTGTCGGGATGCACTGGCTGCACGCGCAGACGCAGGGCTGCGCCGCTGGGCGCCGTTTGCTCCTCCAATCGCAAAGCCTTTCGGAACACCTTGAACTGCACAATGGAGCCGGAGGTCTGCAGCCAGCCGCGGCTCAGCTGCCGCTGGCCATCGATGGTGCCCAGCTCGTCGCTGCGATTGCCTGGCAGCTTCGTGGTGTTGAAGGCATGCGCGTGGATATGCGACTCCCAGCGACGCACCTGTACGCCGCCGGCACGTCCCACGGCTGCCACAAAGTAACGGTACTCAACGCTGCTGTTTTGTGGCAGCAACACGGATCCCATCCAGACATTGTGCACGGCCGTGCGGTTCAGGAGCACAGCGCGATCCGCCTGCCAGCTGCCCAAAGCGGCCAGATTGCCAACCAGAGCGGGTCGCTCGTGCGGCGCTAGCTCATCGCGCTGGGACAGCGTTAGGGTGAAGTTGAACGTCAGCGGCGCGTTGCGCTTGAGCGGCACAAAGCGTCGCGCGGCATAATATTTCTCGTAATACGAATCGCTATCGCAGTGGGCAGTCACGCTCAGCCAGGCGATGGCCAGCGCCACGAATGTCTTGAACACGGACATGAAACAAGCGCGCGCGCGTTGCTCGGTCTGACCTCTGCGGCGTACGCGTTGCGACTATCGCCCGAGTGTGCCACTGGAGCGGCTAAGTACTGGGACGGCTGTGCATGTGTGTGTGTGCTCCATGGCACCCACAACCCACTCACTTATCAGAGAGAGATTTACGACATCTTCAGCGTCAGCCACACATATTACTGCACCGGCGAGCGCTATCAGCACGAGTGCAAATTGTCAACTAAGTCTCAGTTGGCGTTCGAGTGCGGCTGTCCGGCGCGTTTCGCACGTGCTCGCTCAGCTACGGATATGCCAGCCCGCGTACAAGTGTTTCATTTAAGCCCAACGACGTCATCAATTTAAGCAGGCTACGGCTACGGCAATTGCAAAAAGCGTAAAAGCAAATCCCATTCGGAATCCAAATCCAAACGCCGTATTAGCGCAAATTTAATGAATTTGTTTTTGAGTGCTGCGCAAAAACGTCGCCTTGATGGGGTTCGCGTCCATCGCCCCACTCACACACACACTCACACACACACCTACTACTTGACTGTGTGTGCCACTAGTCTCAATTGCCGCCTCGTTTTTTTTATCGTGCCCCCCTTTGCTTTATTCAAATGGCGAAAGTTTTTGTCAACGGCTCTGTAATTTATCTGCAATTACATATATTTCGTAACAAGCTAACGCCCCTCTCCCCCCCTCTCCCACTCACTCTCTCTCTCTATGTGGGAACCAATTTGCCAGTTGCTCCGGCTAGGCGCAGGCAAAAGGCATTCAAACAGCGCGCGCTTCTCTAGCCTCCATCGAATCTCTGCAGTCCACAATCGGGTTGACTTTTCAGCAATTTTCAGCTGACAAAATTCGATTAGCCCCGCAGCAAGTTTCTCATTTCCAGCTAAGATTCTCTTTGCTGCATTTTTGATAGGGCTTATTAAATTCATTTTTGCTCGGCAATAACCAAAAATTTATGGGCTCACATGGAACATGCAAGGCAATATGTATGCTGGCTTAATGACTGAAAGGGATATATTAGCTTGGCTGGCTTTGGCTCTGCGACTGAGAGGGGGAGCAGTCGAAATACCCAGAGTGTTAAAAGTTCCTAAAGATAGTCGTCTACAGCTCTGCCTTGTAAAGCTAAAACAGGTTAAGGTATTATGCACATAGCCCACCCGATATCAGCCTATAAAGCGCACACTTATGGCACTAAAGCAGCCTCGTCTATAGCATCTGTTAATAGAAATCTCAAGCTTTTATGGCTATAGCTACCAGATAAACTGCTCTAGATCTGCTTTACAGATTGAGCCACATTTCTATGCACATACGTCAGCTTGTAGACGTAGTCAATCGCAAAAGAAGCTAAATCTTTAACGTTTTTTGAGTCAAGCAGGGACATCTATTGCACTTCTTTATGAGGCACATTCAAAAAGTTCAAATGAAATTGTTTTGGCATCGTGAGCGAGTATCACGCAGTCGTCTAACTGCAGCGTTCTGAATTTTTTTGAATTTGGCTTTGCGCGTTTATATTAATTTAGGCGGACAAAATTTGCGTAAAACGAAAGAGCCTTGCCACACAGTGGGTAATAAAAAGCACTTGCAGCCATACACACCTACACACACACACACACACACACACACACACACGCACACACACACACACACCTACACACCTACACACCTACACACACACACGCACACACATCCATGCAGCATATGCTTCAATGAGCCGACTTGGAACTGTGCGTGGCTTCACCAACATTTAGGGTCGCGCAATAAAATGATTACTCATACGCAGCGTGGCACAGCGAAATTGATAATGTCAGCAGCACTAAAACAGAGGCAGCACTGCTTGCTGCTCTGTTGCATATACCCTGTAGAATAACTAGAGTGGCATGTTTAGTTGCCTCAGTGAGTATTAAATACTAAAATGTGAGCTGATTGTGGAGCTCTAGACAAGGTTCAGGATATTTTAGAGTCAGGCAGTTGCTAGACTGGAGCACAGCTGTTTAGTTGCTGCCTTTTCTTACACTTTTCTCCATATAAACTTTCTATACTATACTTATGCTAATATATGAGCTGATTGTAGCGCACACAACTTGGTTCAGGGTATCTCATAGTCAGGCACTTCCTAGACTGGAGTTGTCAAGGAACGTCACGTATCTTCCATCTCTCCTTGCCCTTTTCTATATAGACACTTGCTACAGGGTATCTGCTGTGCATGTCTTATGCGCCAGGCAATTCTTGTACTTGTTTATAAATGTGCGAACCACATTACAATATAACAACAACATGGCAGCAGCCTGTGCAAAGGACCTTTTTCTTGCTTTTCTGCTGTTTAGCCATTCGGGATTAAACAGTATTTTCATGTATTACGTCGGATTAGATTGGGCTGGGCCCAAATGCAAAGCCAGACAGACAGCTAGGAGCGCGCATGTATTTAGTACATTTTCGATTTAAATTGAATCTAGCACATGGGCTGCGAACAGTTGGCGAACTATTAAATGACGGATCGACTGATGAGCAGCCCTTAGCCATAAAATCAGCTGTGCAATGGCTTGGAAAAGTACTCAACGGTTTGGCTGGTCAATGGACGGCGACTCGCATGACCCGACGCTTAACCTAAGCAAAAAACGTTGAATGTGCCACAGATTTAAAGGGAAGAGGGCGGAAAGGGAGGCAGGAATGGATGGCTGCAAACTATTGTCAGTTTTTTGTCAGCTAACACCTTTTGGCTTTGAGTCGACCCATGCGTGTGTGTTGACCCATTGTTGGGCTGCCATTTAGTCGTCGCTTCATTAAGCCAACACGTTGCCCTCTCATGTCACAAAAAGTGCGCACAAAATCCAGCTTTATTCCGGATTTCCTATTTATTTTTATAGATTTTGTATTTTGTATTTTTAAATATTTAAATAAAACGTTTATATATTTAAAATTAATTTCATAAATTTTTACAAATTTAAGCAAATTTAAGGAAATAAAATTAAATTTTTTGATTGTAATAAACTTTAATTAATTGGGCAATATATATACATATATTTAATTGATATTTTTATGTGCAATGAAAATGATATTTTTTTAGTTGAAAACGCTGAAATCATAAAGAACTGGCTGGCTGTGCAACTGGGATTCCTCTTTTTATGCTACACACGTAAATGTGCTGAGCTTGCCACATAATAAATCCAAGTTAAATATTCATAAACTGTGCATATTCAATGAGCATATATGTTACATATATATGCTATGTATATATATATATTAGGCTATGCTAACTTAACATTATTAGCTTTTGTAGTCTGCGCCTCTAGCTTAAAGCATTGAACTCTTTTTCAAGCCACTTTCAGCTTACTTTACAGCCCAACTATCTGTGCATAAAATGGCTGTAATTTATGGCCAAATTCAATGTTTGCCAATTTTCTAGCAAATAAGAAATTCTGTGAAAACTACTTCAGCTAATGAAGTCAAATGCTTTGCAGCTCAAAGTGCAGCTAAAATTTTGATTTAAAGTCAGCTCATTAACAGCGCTAAGAATTACTGGAAAAAGTGCAGAGCTACTGAGAAATATAGGTAAATTAAAACTTAAATTTAATACGCTTAAAGTTCAGCTGAAAATATATGTAATTTAAATGGGTAAAATAAATATAATTATTTCATTGATACAATTATGTAAAATCGAATTTAAATTCAATTCTATTATACAAATAGAGCAAGGGAATACTTTGTACAATTGAAGAACTTGGTTCTCATTTCTGCTGTCTGTTTGTGAGCTATCAGCTTGATGAGCTGTGGTATGATGTGTGTAAATATAATAGAGTTATAGAGTCTAAGACAATAAGCTGCAACTAAATAAATATATTAATAAAAAAAAAAAATGGAGTTATATTCTCTATCTCTCTCTCTCTCTTATAGTCAATTGGAACTCATCTGAAATAAGTCCACAAACATTACAGCTCCCACAAATACTTTGTCCCCATCAATCAAACTACTCCAAGTGCTCGAGAGACGCCCCAGACCTGAGCCTAGTTAGTTACAAATATTCCGAGAGTCGACAAATTGTGAGCTTCTAAAGCATTCCAAGATGCACGCTTAATATCCGGCTTAATGTTCGAGCGGAGATGACGACAGCTACACATCACGAGAAGGTTAAGAGCTCTAAATATGTGTAATATAAGCGAATGTTTTCCACTCCTTTTTTCCTCTGCATCCTGTGAAATCAGGACACTGCTGCGGCTTTGCGTCTTGCGGGTTTTGGCATTAAGTTTTTTTTTTGCTTTGCTTCTTAAAAGGGAAAAACTTTGATGAAGCTGCCTTGAGCTGTTGACAGGCCTTAAGCCGCTTAAATCTACCTGGCATTAGAAAAATAACTGCGAAGGCATGCCACGTTATGTTCGAGCTCTTGCAATTTGCGCACAATATTTGAGAGGCGTGTTCGGGCCCTTGGGGAGAAATTAGCTGCGTTTTGTAGTGGCCTAAGTGGCACAATTGCCTTTACACTCTGTATGCAAATTTCGAATAACAACGGCAGAGGCAACGGCAACGGCAACGGCAACGGCATTGGATGCTGCAAACGCCTCAAAGTATGCTGTGGCATGTGGCAAGCGTGGCAAGTGGCGCGGGGGCATGTGACAAAACAAACGCGCCACAAACGACGCAAAGTAACTGAGCCCAGGGCAAAAGGCAGCCTTTGTTATGTTTACACACACACATGTGTGTATTCATAGCTCTCCCTCTCAGTGTGTGTGTGTGTGTGAGGCTCTGTTTGTGCTGCATAACAAAGGTTCCTTGAATTTCACTCTTTTCGCACTCGCTTCACAATATGTTTATTAAAGAGAGGTCAAACTTGACTTGACTGCTTCATCACGCTGTCGGCCAGTTCAATAAAGCCAAAGTCAAACAGGCAACAGAAACTTTGCGCGCTCGTCCCTTATGCAAATACGTTTCACTGCGGCTAACAGAGGCAGGCCTAAAGGCACTGCGGCCTTCGAGTCATTTATACAAATATTTAATATGTTTCCAGAAACAGGTCGCGGCAGGGCGACAATGGCCCAACATTAAATGACTTGCCGTTAAAAGCAAAAGATTGCGCGGGCA